TGTCACTTAGGGCTTGTCCAAACTCCAATGAGTTATGCGTATCCCTACCAATATGCTTTCTATAAATTTACTACTTAAAAATGCCTATTCCAGTTTTCAAATTAAACGAAAAAGTCCAAAATCTTGGCCGATTTAAGCAAAGGCAGTACTGTCAGCCGGAAAATTGTCCTCGGACATCAAGCGCTATCAAGTGCATTAAGTCATCCTAAAGTGTTTCCTGTTTATCCCCAATGCAGAACTGTCAGGTAGTCAGGGTTAGCTTAAAGTACATGCTATGGGTACAGACAGTGTTTCAGATCTTTTAAGTGACTGTTTAGGCCATACGTTAGGAGAACAATATACCTTTCAAATTCTCTTGACTGATGAAACGACTTCTATTCGGCTGCATAGCACAGACCAATTAATTAAGTTTGTCGACCTTTTCTTCCCCGTCTATTCATGTCATTCTGCTATTGAAAACAGACAGGTATTGCAAACTTGGAAATACGTTCCGTCCAAGTTTATCAGTTTATCACGTGCTCAGTAAAACAGCACGACCTGGGCCGCCCACAATACCACAGTCTCTACGCAAATTCTGACAGTGCGTGAAGTTATTCGTACATATGCGTACGGACCTTGAGGATTGTGTGCGTCTTCTATGTTATGACTCGGTAAACCATGGCTTTCGCAGCGTGGGATGCGCTGGCAGTTCTCTGGCACCTGGTTTCCCGCCGGTAGATGCGTTTGCGCTCCCGCTAGGTGCAGAGGTCGGATGACTCTTTGCCCAGTTCTCCTTCTCTTTCTGACCCCTTTTATATTGGTGGTTAAAATCCCGGTCAAATGTGCGTCGTAGACCAGGAGGTGTGGCAGTACGCCCTAGGTGCAGGCCTGGCCATGCCAGCCACTTGCGTCTTCACTGCCTCCGGTCTTCTTCTTTTGACACCGAGCCGGGAGGAGGAGGAGGGAGTGCGGTAAATGCTGGGTAAGTCTACTCTAGCTGTAAACCCCCTCTTGAAGAAGGAGACACGATCGCTGGGACAAGAGTTTTACTAGCCTGACGTTTCGGATTCCTGCGTGAACCCATAATCAGAGACAAAAGCATATGCGGGTGATGGGTTCGAGCAGGAATCCGAAACGTCAGGCTAGTAAAGCTCTTGTCTCAGCCATCGTGTCTCCTTCGTCAAGACTGCTTCCTGGGACTCGTCTCTTCGCTTCCATTGGCAATGTAAACTCCATCGCATGCAAGTCACAGTGTTTACTCTCACCTTGATGTATGGCACATGGTAGACATCGAGGCAGCGACGATCGAGCTTTCACTATTGCTTTTAGTTTCTAATAGACCCTTTATGTTAATTCTCTGTTGGAGAAGATACCTGAGCTTGTATACTGCATTCGACACTCTTCGCGGCATACTTCTCAAATTTGAATTTGGTAATTTTTACCTGCTTCCCCTCGTCTGTTACTCTTAACTCTTCTCCTGTCATTCTTTCTGCCTTATTAAAATTGACTTTTCTTACTCTGAGACGTATCCTTTGCACACCTGCCGCTGGTATTTCTCACTTCTTTATAGACAATGACACTGTACGACAGCATTTTACGATAGTCAGGGACCTCGCTGATTGAATTATTAAGGTCCTCGCTCACCCCATCTATGCTGCTATAAATGTTACAAAGTAGTTCCTCTCACTAATGGAAGAGAATTTGCGTATCTCAGATTCTTGTTTAAAAGAAGACGAAGGCACGATCACTGCCAACGAACCTTTTTCACCTTCGACGGCAGAACATACGAAAAAATCAAAGGAACACCCATGGGCCCCCTAATGTCCAGCCTAGATGCGCAATTGGTCTTACATGAGCTGGAAAAGATTGTTTTCAACCACGACAAACCTGCGTTTTGCGCCGATACGTGAGCGATACATTCGCCCAGAGGCCTACGCCAACGGGTGCTAGCTACAGCCGAGACAGTGGCTATACGGCTAGCCAATCCAGTGCTATGCTGTCAGAAGACTCTGACACAGGCGCTCTGTCTTCCCTGGCCAACGCCGACTCCAACGCCGCCCCAGCTTCCTGATGGCAGTGGTGTGTGCAAAACGTACCCGACGTACTCACAGCCTATGTCCGCTTCTCCCTCGCCCCCTTGACCCAGTGACCACGACACGCCGACCACGCCATAGCACGCCTCGTCATGCGAGTGGCGTGGGAACGATGGGTGCTAATAGCCCCTGAATCACTTATAAGCCCTGTAACTTCGCATAACTTAAATTTCTATGTAACCGTTTTGGATTGATGAAGAGTTACCGAAAACACGTGTTTGACAAATTGACTTTTCAATTTTAACATGGGAATAATCGCTGAACATTCGTCATTATTGAAAAAGACAGGCTATCGGATTTTGAAGACCTGATTAACAGCATCTTCCCCAACATTCAGTTTACATGAGAAGACGAGGAGGCCGAGAAATTACCCTTCCTTGACTTGCTCTTCACGCGCACATCTGACAGTAAACTCAGCACTACAGTGTATAGAAAGGCGACCAATGCAACCCAGGCCCTCAGCTATCATAGCAACCACCCGTTGGTGCACAAACGGAGCTGTGTGAGGCGCTTTTCGACCGCGTAAAAACGCACTGCAGCGAGCCCGAAGGAAGGATGCAAGAACTGCGGCATCTCAGGGACCAGTTGACAAGGAACGGCTACCCAGATAGTTTCATCGGCCGCTGCATACGTACGCACCCACGACGGACAAACGGAAGAGAGATACCAACAAGTTGACCCTCCTTACCGTACATAAAGAATGTGTCCGAGGCTACAGAACGCATTGCGCCAGAGTTAGGCGTGGGCATCGCTCATCATACGGCAGCTATCATGCGTAGCAGGATCATAAAAATGAAGGATCGGCTGGACACAGGTGAGCATTCGGGCATAGTTTATCAAATTCCGTGCCATAACTATCCTTGCCACTACACAGGCCAAACAGGACGACGTCTCAGCTCACGAATACTTGAGTACAAACGGGCCGTTTGGAGAGGCGACTCACTATCTCAAGTCGCGACTCGCACACTGGAGGAGGGCCATGAGTTGGACTTCGCCAGCACGCGGATATTGGCGCGAGCCGGCAACAAGACGGGGCGAGAACTGTTGGAAGCGTGGGTGTCGGAAAGCAACTCCATCAATAGACACATTGATTTACCTGCGTGTTGTCACGCGCTTCACCCACGCAGCCCGGTGGCGCAGATCACATCGCCGCGAAGTACAAACGCCGTCACCACGCCGGGGGACCATTGTGGGCCAGGCAGCACAAACCAGACCTAGCCACGGACGTAATTCTCCCTCCCCCTCACGGCACAACGATATAAATGTTCACAAGTTGCTGCCCTCTAACAGTTTCTGATGAACTCCTGTTCGAGGTCGAAAGCCAAGACCAATAAATCTACCGTCCCGGTGATCGTGCCTTCGTCTTCTTTTGTTCCTCTAAATTTACCGTGCCTTCCGTCATATCTGCTACCGCAAGCCAGCCTATGTACACTTAGTCATACCATCCCACGCAAGATTTCCGACAGGTAGTGAGACTCCGATATAAAAATGAAGGCTTTTCTTGTCAGATTAACAGCTATGCTCTTATTCTGCTACCCGCGTTCTCCTATGTATAGTCGTCTGTATTTTAGCCATCCTGACTGGGATGAGTTTTTGTGAAAAATAGAGTGATTTGCTTCAAAGAGATGCTATTATTCTTCTTCTAACTTACCGATGTGATTTTGGAAGTCAGTAAAGCCGGGCTCATGCAGGTACGGCGATCAGCATGTGCGTGGCTTACGAGGACGGCGAGAATGTCCAGTCGACTGCTGCATCCAGCCACACCCTCCCATCTGGGACACGACGGGTGAGTACCAGTAAGCGAGGTCACTAGAATCTGCTTCATCAACAAGTTATCCCGCCCCCCCCCGGAATGTTGTGGACGTTAACGACCCGGATGGCCGAAATTTCATTCATCTAACACTTTGTCTTCTGTTTACTTACTTGAGGAAAATACTGAGAGCACAAGGACTGGAGGTCTGGAGCGAAGTCGATACACGCTCTAGGAAATTCGCTCCCGTTGGATCGAAAAGGCTTGCAGTTTCTTTAGAATTTCTGTTTCCAGCAAAAAAGCCACTACCCATCACGCAAAACTTACCTTCCCGCTTTCGGAGAACTCTAGTGCGAAAAAGACTGGATGGATGACGACGCACGCGGTGTAGGCAAGAGTTGCGAGCCCGAGGAAGGCAATGGTGGTGTTGTAAAGACGACGTTTGGCGACCAAGTTGAGTACCAGTAGGGCTGAGATGAAGAGAAGAATTGCGAGGAACAGGAGGCCAAGACTCGTGATTGCCAGGACCATGCAGATAAGGAAGGGTGCTGAGAGCGTGAAAGAAGATGTATATGAGTATATGTATATGATGTATATGTATACATACATATATATATATATATATATATGAGATGCATATGAATTCGGACTGTTTTTACCGCCCTTCACTGAATGCTGGTTGTTCTTCTGTTTTTATGCGTGAGGGCTCGCCTTGAAACTATATTTACTGAATTTTATCCTCTATTCAAAATATCTGATGTTGCTGAATTATACGTAACAAATTTATCAACCGATTCACCCATCACATTCTACCGCGATCTATGCTACAGCTATACGCCACCCATGTATGCTTTCGTAAGAATATCAACCGGCAAGCCTCTCTTTATAAAATCATCAGCGTCTGGCTTATATTGATTAGTCATCAGTCTGCGAAATAATTGTCGCCGGCACTTTCTTAATAGCCAACGGACAACTTTTTGGAGAAGTCGAGTTCGACGAAGCTACGCATTTGATTAATCCTCGTCGGGTCCTCAAAGTTATATAAATTGCGGTAGCGCAGCAAAACTGACAACAGACGGTAAACAGTAGTTGTGAGAGAGAGGGTTGAGGCGGTCCAGATATGCCAGAAGAGGGAGTTATTGCAAATTAATTCATTTCGAAGCATAGGGAGGGGGAAAAGGGAGGGGAATCTGCTTAATGTGAGGATTCTCCTCTATAAGGCTTGTTGGGACTCTAGGAATTGAACCCATCTTTTACTCCAGTCTACTTAGTTTCGATGATATCGACATCCCAAAAATGAGCATAGTCGTCGGTAACATGTGAAGGAAGGAGAAACTGGCCCTAGACGTTTTGAAATTGTCTTACCCTCGCAACAGGCCTTTTGGACGCAGACCTCTTCCTGATTCCTCTCAAAGCATTCCTGCATGATGCCCATTCTCGTCTGTTCTGCGTGCATCCAGAATGTGCTGAAGGTGGACACAACCAACAGTACGAATGCCAGGATGGAAAGGAGCAGAGAAAGAACCTGAATGTAAAAACAAAATGTGTCAATTTTTTGCAATTCAGGTAGTATATAAAGTGACTCATCCCTGCACCGTTTCTGTTCAAAACTTGTTCTTCACATGAGTACCCTAGTGTAGCGAGAAGCCTTCTGCAGAAGATAAGGGTGTCTGAATTCTGGGTGGATGTCGACTGTCGAGCGTGCAAATGTGCCGAATATTACTGTGCCTTTCTCAAAGGTCTCATATTCATGTTTCTTTTTAGTTGACAGCGGATGGAACAGAAATGACTCAATAATTCTGCAAATAGAAACTGCTCCTCGGCAGTTGTATCCTCTAATACGAGAATTGGTTTTCTCTGAAAGTTGTGGACGTAAAAGAGGTGTATGGACTCTACTAAAGCCTAAAAATGGTGTTGCACACTGCCAATTTGTGCTTTTGCCAAATATATGAACAAAAATGTGACAATAAGTTGTGCCCAACACGGGAATCGGACGTGGATCTTGGGCATTCCGCGCCAGCATCCTATCATCGCATCTTTGTGCTCCAATCAGGAAATTTCGGTACCTACGGGCAGTGTCTGTTGATGGTTATCCGGGGCTTTATTTATGCTGATGAAGTTTTGAGCACGTCAGCATGTATGACCGTAAGACAGAGCATGCTTATGCTCAAACCCGATCTGTTTGCCTTCGCAGAGAAATGAACTCCGAAAGCAAGAGACGGGATAACGGACAAACGGTTTCAAAGCTACGAAGCGAGAAATAATAGTGATGGATCGACAAATACTAAGGGGATATTGAGACAAAGTCTGCTTATATGTTTGCCTTGTGAGTCAAGAAATGGGGAGTGCCGACTGTTATGCACAACTGATAGGCACGTTGCCAACAGTCTAGCAGGTGGTGGTGTACCAGACGTGAGTGCGGGGGTCGACTGTTCGACCTTGTCGGGCGACGGACGTTTTCCACCTGTGCCAATTTTTATTTCCGATACCCTGCCGTAAGAATTTTTATATGATATATCTTCATATAAATTTATGGAACACTACGCACTGGCTGTGCATTCCGAATAGTTCCAACCACCTACGCCTAGTTCACTCAATAAAGCCGCCCAGTACACAATATGGTTTATCTACTGATTCTCTCTGTGGACATAAATCGATTACTTTAATTTGGATGACCAAAAGTTGGTAATTCAGAGTTTTTATGAAAATTAGGTCGTCTAAAAAACCTGGTATTTTAAATAAATAGCAACTTACACCTCTAACGTGCTTATGCAGTTACCGTATTTTTAAAAATTACGAGCGTTCACATGGGGTTCTCAAGGTGTCGCTGTCGTGTAGTAATATCCTGGCACAATACTGATGCAGGTTTGCGGTAGATCTTTGTCGCACCTCAACAAAGCTCGCAGATTTTCACTCGCACTCACATTCAAGTGAACATTCCAAAAAGTTTGAGTCGATTTTCTGAGTCAGATGTCCCATTCTCCTGCAGAAACGCAACGTATCACTTTTCTTTTAAGTCTTTCTAGGCAGAATAGCCAACATAGAGGTTTCTTAATGAGTATTTTCACAAATTAAAGAATGGACATCAGGTGGGAAGATCGCAATTGAAATTCGCCATACCACAGTGCACGCATTAGACTGATACGACTTCTCATATGTTTTAGTTTTACAATTCCTCTACGGAAATCCCTTTTTACTTGGTAACACATTTAAAGACATCGGACAGGATTTACGTGTAAGCTCGTTAGAGTTTGGATAGAATGTAACATCGGCCTGATAAAATTTCTTCATGGGCTAACGTGAATTAGGTTATCTAGGTTTGAAAAAATTTATTCCTTATGGGGCAGTATTGTCCACGTGAAAGTTTGGCAGATTCCCCTTTTATGATCACTTTACAGAATATGCACAATTATAGTCGCTGGCATTTTTAATTCTCAGAAACCTGCGAATTGTTGCATGTTCGCAAGATTTCAAAAGTTCTTGAAACTTGCTCTCCGATAGCAACTGTTGATTTCCAAAAGGAGGATCCATTGTAACTAGTATAAAGTAGCGTACGGTACCTGGAACAATTAGCATTCTTCGTAAGCAGGCCAAGAAACATCTCAGAAGATCGCCAAATTGCAAACCTTCTATACAATATATTGCTTTTTTTAACTAATAAAGTCTTTTTTCGAAATCTCCAACTGAAAAATTCGCAAATGCATTTAGCGGTTTAGCAAGAAGTCTTAAAATCCGGTGGCACCAATGCATCCTGTCCGGTCCATCCTGTCGGCTTCACTCAAATGTATGTCAGGGACATCGTGTTTCAAAGCATCCAGGTAATGGCTTTGAAGAAGTGACGCTAGGTGGCTGCAGTGATGTCGGATGGAAAAGCAAGCATATCATATCGAGCGAATTTCAGCTGGTATTATGCACGAAGATGGTGAAAAGGACCGTCGGGAGTCTTTTGCCTTAAAGGTGATTCTGCGTCACGCGATTTCCACAAATCTCTTTATGCTCACTACCCTGAAGGCTAATTTTAATTCATTCGAAAGTACGTTTGCGCTTTTACATGCAACTTTAACGAAAAGAGAGCTGAATTCTACTCGTGCCTTCGCTTTACAGTAACAGGGACCGCCTTTCTACTGCTTTAGGGCCAATAGCGACCGCGCTGAGGGTGGCAAGACGGAAATTTGAATTTAATTGGTTCAGAAGCGTTGCCAATCTAGGCCACCCCCTCACAGCATATAGGGACCAGATGAAAGTTAATATGGACGCCAACTGACGAGATGGGTGGATGCATGAATGAGTCAACCTGCAAATTAAATTGCATAGCGCGCATCGGCGGTAGATCAGCTGACAACCGCTGTGTATTACAATTGGCAGCAGCCTAGAGTCCTTTCAGAGGTGAGGGTGTATGCTAGCAAATTACCACTTATCCTGCACATTGAGGGCTGCTATTCGCGACTTGGGGTTCAGCTTAAAAAACGCTCGACTGACCTTGCATGTTATCATGTAGCATACACCTAAAAGCCCAAACGTACCCAAGGTCATTTGATGGATTGAAATCAATTGAAATCTGTTTACCTTTAAAAGTTACTTAAGGTTGTTTTCCCGAAGGCTGCGTAAGGACAGATAAGTCTTAACTAAAGTAAAGAGGAAGGGAAAACCCTAAAACATTGAGTGACAGCATGTTAGAATCATGGAAATACAGGGCGCAGATATGGGAATTTTATTAGCTACTGCTCTAAGATTCAAAGATCCCCAGTAGTTACTTTCAGCCTGTATTATGGATACATGTGTTAGTGTTTCAATCGCACCATTTTTTCGTAGGTTCAGAGCTCATCGATTTCGAGTGGCTATAAAATTCTCTGTCAAAACTCTAAACTAAACCCCTGCTAATCTTGGTCTAATAGCATTTTATTTACCGGTTGAACTCGAGTTCGAGCCTCAGGTGTTCCACACTTCGGGGTTAGGTATGACTGGCTGACGACGGCTAATAAGCCAGAAATGGCCACTCCAGTCTCCCTTGTATTTTTCGGCAATGCTATTCTGCCTATATCATGCGCCGTTGTGTGGCTGCTGGTTGGGTTCGAGAGAGAGCCCGTAAGGCACAACGGAACGAGTGATTTCCGTAAGAACGATCGGTGAGCGCCCCCTACCATTGTATATAGTATGACTTATTGGCACCGAGAACGAATTAGGTTAAAGATGCCTGTATTTTTATAATAGAATGACCTGCGAACTTCCCTGAGAATCCAATGTGCCTGCTCTGGATGCAGGTGAAAAGCTTGTTCCCCCCCAGCACAAAGTGGTATGGTGGGAATGACAGGTGGCGAAATGTAGTCAAGCAAATATAACTACTTCAGAAAACCCTATACTCCACTGAGACAGCTTCAAGTCAGATTCGAGGCGGTATCTTGAGACGCGATGAAAGACAAAAAGGCAGTTTTTTTCAAATAAGTTTTTGAGACTAATTCCGAAATGGGTCAGCGAATTACAAGTCTTTATTTTTAATCTGACAGGTTATGCGGAGAAACCCTCTCATATAATTGCATAAAAGTCCTTGGTACTGCAAAGATTTGACTAAACCCCTCTGTGGGTTCTGACGTTTTCATATTGAAGACCGTATTCCCAAGGCAGTGATAGCTTTCAGTGTTAACGACAGCTAAAATAACCTGTCTCGTTGGATCTGCACTTACAAAATTCGCGAGGCTGAAATAAGTGTCAGGATCGGTTGCATTAGAGGAATAACAGGTCAGTAGGAGTATCCAAATCTAGTGATCTAAAAGATGTTCTCAAAAATACCTTTGTCGAGGACAAGTATACTCGAAATAAGCAAATCAAGTTTATTTCCTGCTATCGGAGAAACCACCACAACACTGGACTATGAAGGACCACGGATTTAACCCAGATTCAACTGGGTACTTTACCTTATAGGGGAATAGTAAATCCCTGAAGTCCCTCGCGTAGGCTCGTACCGTGCCAATTAGTTTTTTCCTTCATGGGGCCATGGAAGCACAAGATTTTGTTAGGCATGCTCTATGGACAACGTCCTCATTACGTTAGCAATTGAAAGAATAAAATATTCTCGCAGTGAGGTCCCCCAGACCCAGCTAAATGAACGATAAAAACGACAATTAGGACGCGCACCTTAAGGGGGCGATCAACACGAACCAGCTTGATGGTCATTGTGGGAGCCCTTCCATGGCAGTCGGCCCCGCCTTCGACGTTGTGCGTTTCAGGACGAAGTGTCACTGGAGCATCGATCGGGACGTCCTCGAAGGCCTCCTCATCTTCTGTTCCAACACTAAGTAGCGACATTGCGGCGAGTGCTCAGCGCCGCCTTTAAGCGGACTAGAGGGCGGGCGGGCGGGCTTGGGTGTCCCGACCGAAGCAAATCCGCAATGACAGAAAACATGCCTGCAGAGGGGCAGCTGCCGACGACCGCACCCAATTAATTAATCATTTGCCCAACCGGACGTGTTGCCTCAGACGTGGGCCAATTGGTAGAACACCAACACACGTGTGAGGCTGCGTGCCTGTCCTTCCCTGCGCGGCGTGCGCTTCCACGGGCACGCGCACACGACGCAGGCATCGATCACGCACGTCAGGGTGGTGGTGGTGGTGGTGTTTGCTGTCTGCTACGGCGACCTCTCATGCACAGATTTCCTTGCCTGTCGCTCGGTCAGGCAGCACCCATGTGCTGTTTTGATGTACCGTGGTCAGCACAAGTACCACAAGGCAGCGGACGGGGACAAGTAGTTCATATCCCAGCCTCGGCTCATGCGTAAGACAACCGCGGCAGGTGGTCACGAAAGCACCAAAAGGCTGGGCCCAATTGCTGCTGGGATGTCCGAGAGCAGGCATGGGACGACCGCCGATGTAGAGCATCTGCATCACCCTTGTGAGCATGATTTTTTTCAAGCCGCACAGTCTCAGTAGACTGAATCAATGTAACAAAGTGGTCATTGACGTAATAAGGCATTCATGGGAGTTTGTGGATAAAATTCGCAAAATGCCGAAGACGCTGCCGAACTAAATTCATTACCTGCTTAACTTTTCGGTTAGATAGCAGTTGGTAGCCAGGAATGGGGACGCGGACAGCCAGGTCCCTGTCGTAGGGGAATGGTGGGAAACGGAGTTATATGGGTGGGGTAAATGGAAGGGCTGGTAGAGGAATGCTGGAGATTCTGGGTAAAAGTAAAGTTACCAGGGAAAGCGCTGGGAAGTTTTAAGTAGGTGGAATAATGGCAGTAAATTAAACCCTACGCCTAACCCTAAATTCCAAACCTGACCGCAACCGTAAAGTCTAACCCGAAGCGTCCAAACGGAAACATAACCAAAATCCTAAAATCCAACGCTAACCCTAAACCTAGCCATAACCCTAACCTTGACCCTTACCCTAACCGTAACCCTAACGGGAACCTAAACCCTAACTTTAACACTGAAACCTGACCCTAAAACACAAACCCTTATCATAAAACTTAACCTACGCCCAACACTAACCTTCACTAAACCCAACAACCTGACTGAAACGGGCAACCTGCCCACTCAGTAAGAGCACATCTACTGATAACAAGTTCCCTAGACAATGTAAGCACACCTATAATGTCTTACCAACTTTTCTGACAATTTACTCTGCAACCCAGTTGTAGATACTACTGTTTTTACACTGTTGTTTCATTTGCAGGACAACCGAGATTGCTCATACCGCAGTTGCGTTGTCCTCTAGGTTGCCGCCAAAATGTCAATGCGGCCGACAAATGCTTTACCATATGATGAGCGAACCTACGTGCGCTGTACTTGGCTGTGTGTGCTGACCAATAATTGCTCCACCATAAGATAGACACATACGTGCAGACTTAACTCGACTGTCCATCCCTTCGGATATGCGAGTGTGGATCGCCGTGGTTCCTGTGGAGTTTGTACCCCTCCGGCTCTGGGCACAGCTTGATCTCAAAAATAAATTCTATGTACAGAGAGGTTCTGTAGGCAGTGCAAGCAAGATTACACAACAAAGGAAGAAAAACGGAGGGAAGGTGCTCGGTGGATAAAAGATTTGTATTCGGAAGATGCAGGGTGATGTGCTGACTTTTGCACAAGAAACTTGTGCGCCGGTGTACCACTGGACAGCTGCAAACTACAGTATTCCGAAAATCCACCAACACGAGACAGATCCTACACTTCAACAGTAACCATCCTCTGTCTCATAAACGTAGTTGTGTCCGCACTCTATTCCAAACAGTCGAAACACACTACAGCACGCCAGAAGATAAAAGGACCGAGCGATTGTACCTTTGAACCTATTTGCAGCCAATGGTTATCCCAGACATTTCATTAAGAGGAGCAGACGTTGGACGCCCAGACGACGGCCAAATGAGCAGCAACCCGAAGTCTGGAGGGCCATTCCCTACGTCAAAGGGGTCTCTGATGCGGTCTCGCGACTGTTACAACCCACCAGAGTAGGCATAGCCCATCGACCCCAAGCAACAATTCAACGTCGCCTGATGCAACCCAAGGACCCTTTGCCACCTGCTGAAACCTCAGCAGTCATTTATAAAATAAATTGCAATGAGGGCGACTGCAACTATGTGGGCGAAACCGGACGAAAATTGCGAAATCGCCTACAAGAGCACAAATCGACCACTCGGAGGTTAGACCCTAACTCTCAACCGGCAACACATGTTGGAGAAACAGGGCATACTTTTGACATCCAGAGGGTTACCATCTTAGGCCGAGGCAACACAAAAGCAGAACGGCTAACTCTCGAGGCGTGGTTCTCCGATGCCCACTCTATCCACAGGCATTTGGACCTTCCTGCAGCTTACGAAGTCCTACGTCAGCACAATCGTAAAGCTCAGGACCAAACAACCACACTGGACTTAAGAAGCCCCTACGGAGATAGCCTGACGCTGAGTTTACTAGGTGAGGAAGAACAGGAAACGCCAGACCGACCGCCCGACAGAGGTTCACTCAGCTCCCCTAGACGGAGTGGTGACTCACAAAGCACACAGGCAAAACGCCCGTTCACCATCTCCCGAGAGTCTGAGGCAGTGAGAGGAGAAAAAATAGATTAGCATAAGGCCAGCCAACACAAGATGCCACTTTAAATTAAATTTCAGATCGATTAAGTGCATTTTACGCTCTGGCAATGAAGAGCTCTTTGAAACGTCAGCAGTTAAATTAACCTGTCCCGGAGAGCCTATTTTATTCTTCAAAGATACTGGCAGGTAAACAAAATATACATAGTCGGTCTCTAAACAAGAGGACGAATAGCGGTACAGCCTGTGGGAATTACGGTTCCGTATGTGACACAGTTGAACAGAGATATCATGTCACATCAGTCACTGTGCCCAATATTAATTCCAGTCGGATCGACTCAGCCAAGCCGCTGGGGTTCGTGTGAGGGTAGATCGTGAGTGAGCTCGATCCAAAGCTTATTTTCGTACACTAAACACGCATTAAAACTCTCACGATGCGCTAACAGTCGTCGTTTGGAAGGCTGCCAACTGATGCGGTGACCCGGTTTTGCTCAGGACAGAGGCCCAGGTTGCAATGGTCTCCTCATAACGCGACCTTTATTACAGCCTCATTCATTTGACATCCGAGGTACTCAGATGTAGCTCAGTACGCGTGAAGTTACAGGTCAGTTCGTGTGTGTGGTAAGCATAGGCGTGCTCGTAGTCTTTGTCAGCTTTTGCGTTCACTCTCACGTCTAGTCGCCCTGACTTTGTCTTGCCATGAGGATAGAGAGAGAGAGTTAAGTGGATACAGCAAAAGTTACGGCTAAGCCTATCTAACGACCCAGTGGAGGACCTCATCGCTCACGACGGCTGAAATATCAGCAATTTTGATTTTTTATTGTGTTGGAGTGGGGTCTAACGACCTGGTTAAACCGTATTGCGAAATTCTGGCGATCCGATTGACCTGAGAGCACCGATTAGCAACTCTCGCAGGCTGTCTCACGATGATTCGAAATATATAGCCCAAAAGCTTAGCTCAAAAAAATAGTGGAGATTAAAATGATCGTTACTGATTGGTTTCTTGCTGCCGACTAGAGTACGATCCATACATCAAAGATTACTCATCTTCATAAAAAATATCACAAATGAAACCCTCGTATCTGGGTAGACGGTTAGACCCCACCGATTTGGAATATCTGTCGTTGCAGGTGACAGAGCACGGGGTCGTGTTTCAAAGGTTGGAGCATTTAGCTCAGTCATCAACCAGACCCAGGGTCAAAGGCTAGACCTCTTATGCTCATAGCTTCATCGTGGCCAACTTAGGGTAATAAAAAGGCCGGAAATGGTCACTTCCGTCTCCATTGTTATTGTCGACATCCGTAGTTGTGTTTTCGTGCCCACGTAGTAAATCGAAGTCCGTATTTGCAGTAGGTGACCTAACGCATGAAACATTATCCGAAATTATCAAATAGGGTTTCAGTTAGAAGAACCTATGCAAGTGGTGCTGCAGAAACAATTGGCACACGGCCCGACCCCGGGATAATTCGCAAACTGCGGGCTCAAGATGAACACCTCTCCGACCACCAGCAATAATCACACTCATTTGAAAGTAACTACTTAAGTGCCCTGCATAAGAGCACCTATTCTTCCACTAATTTGGTAGCAAATTACGTCTTCTTCAAAGTTTATGCTTGAAGGAAGAGTACAATTTGGTTTTCAAAAGCTTTTTCAATTCCAGAATAATTTTGAACCCGACCTGTTGTTAAACTTGCATTTGGGGTTTACAAACCACGACCTGCGCATTTTTCGAGAAAGGAAAATCACGTATTCCTATGCGCTATTAGGAAGATATCATATGGGAATTATAAAACTTTGCAGTGGATATGGACCACATTGTATATTTCACAAGAAACTTTAGTAAATGCAACGATACGATTTTTTATGAAGGAACATCTCACGGTCTTAAGCATTTCACAATAAGAAACTTTTGTAAAACCAGCAGATACTCTTCTTTAGACATTTTATTTGAAGAGAACGCAACCCGCTAGCAAATGAGTACTAGAATAATTATTTTTGCGCATGTTTCCTGTGAAATATTTATATTCCTTATGCTGTCGTTCTTACGGAGTGCAGTCTCTGCAGACGACCGGAAAGAAACTTGTTCAAAAGTCGGCAGCCTGGTGTGATTGAAGTGTTCTGGGATTATGTTTCATGGTAATTGATCTAAAAATCCTATTTAAGTCGAATCAAAAACACCTTCAGTGATTTCGGCTGACATTTTATGAGATACCACAGCCATTGTATATATCGTCATTAGAAATGCCTTCTTCACTGTGTGAAGTACCATTGGAAGATTGG